ATCCAACTTCAAAATTCTCGAATGGTTAATTTTAAGAAATTATACAGCTTTTCCGTTTTTTTTACTGTTAATTCTTTAATAATGCACGCATCATTCTAACTATATTATTTAAAACGAATGCTAAGATATAGGAAACAACTACCAACCCTTTTTCATTCTCTCAGGGTAGGCTAATATTGCTATTATTATTATTGCTGAGAAAAATATTAACGTTGAACAATAACACCTTATTTACGTCAATACTATAATACTTTTTTATTTCCAGAAATTTAATGATGATATCAGTTGTACATATACATACTCAGATAATCTTTCAATTTTATGTTAAGATCTCAGTCCATGTAGTACAATAGACGTACAGCAATACATTGGATTCTATATTGTGTACGAACTTTTAGGTATCAATCATCTAAAATATATTCTGTCACCTTCATAAACGAATTAATATCATAGTATGACATTGGTCCGATTCTAGTAACTGTCAATTTTTTTAATTTAAAACCTACGAATAGCGAATAGATTCCAGTTATAAGTTGAATATTGTATGTCTCAAACGTTGTTTTCTGTCACTAGTTAATTAAAAACTTTTTATTTTTAGCCTTACAAGACTTGACTGTTCGCCATATCATATCGTGAAATAGACCTTTCTGACAGGATAAGTTATATTACGTGTGTCTGGGATCACAAATCGTGACCATGAAAGCCTCTGCCAGACTTCTAGTATTAAGTTAAAGCAAAAAAAGCCTGCACTCTTATAATGATAAAATCGGAATTCAGCATTCAAAATTTCTTGTTGTTAATTCTAACACTACACGTAGATATGTCTGCTCTTGTTTAAGTGTTTTACTCTTAAAAGATCCTTATGTTTTCTTGAGCTATAAAAATTAAGTTGTATCGGGTTCATTCATTTAGATTTGTAAGGCTCAGAATACGAGTAACCCTCATAATTTCGTCGGTACGTGTATTAAGCTACTTCTTTAAACATTTGCCTGAAACATTAATATTAGTGATGGTAGTTCAAATCACTTTGAAATATACGTCTGTTTTCTACGTTTTGGGGGATTACTTGAGCATTTTTTTCAATGGAACCACCCACGCTCACTTATTGACGGATGGTTTCACACGCTAAGACAGTAATGGTTTATTTGGAATTGTGTTCAGTAATTAGTCTTTTTTATCTTTTAGTAAATTCATTTGTACTTTGTGTTAAAATGAAGGCAGTCAATGAGCATTACCCAACTACTCACAATTCACATTAAGGAATTAACTGTGTCTCTTATAACACACTCACAACTGAAAGTGCAGGGAATATTTTATGGTATCGCAGGGATTCAAACCCGGTTCGCCAACTTCGAGATCCAGAGCTCTGTCAACCCGCGCCCTTTATTACATGCATTTTACCGTGAGTAAACATATTGTTGTAGCTCGTGTTTTTTTTTTTGTTGTTGTTTTGTTTTGTATTTTGACGTTTTTATTGTTTTTGGTTAGAGGGAGGTTTTAACGCCACATGCTCGAAAATTTCCTGTAAATGATGAAACAATGGAAAGATGACAAGAAACAAAGAGAGAGAAAAATCAAAAGATTAAGAAGGAAGAAACAGAAAGATCAAAAGGAAAGAGATAGAGAATTAAGAGAGGAATTACAAGAATGGAATATTATATTTAAAGTATAATTGCATACCCAAAAAGACAGGATAGAAAATGTACATAGTGAAATTTTGAGTCATACAAAATGTAAAGGTTGAGAAAAAGGCTATAGAGAGTATGCAGAAGGATTACAACAACAATATCAAAGAAGTACAGAAATAGAATAATAACAAGATTGAAGAAGTCATAGAATAGGTACAGAAGGACAGCAACACCAGAAAAGAAAAATATATTTAAACTTAACTAGTAAATGCAAGGATCAAACAACCCACATCTCTCTCTCTCTGCGTCCATTCAGGAATTTCAACCTCAAGCTGTGTTATAACTGTGTTATATAGAATAGAAACACTTAATCTGGTCTACACATGTTACCACTACTGTTCTGCCATCTATGGCTGCAGGATCTTCCTGGACTATTGCAGCTTTGTTACTACTTCAGCAAGTTACGGAATTTAACACGCCAGATTAACAATATCGCCCAATCAAGAAACTGCCAGATTATGATGAAAAAAAATACCATGGGAGGCAAAGCTTGAAATAAGTTCATATGTGAAGGGATGAAACAATGAACAAGTTGTTCATCTTGCTGCATATTTTTAAGGACCAGCTTTAACAATATTAATTAATCTTCCAACTGAGAGTTGTAACAACTAACGGACATTGGCGGCCATCTTCTCAAACACATTTGAAGTGATACATCAGAAAAACATTTCTAAAGAAACAGCAAATAACAAAATAAGAAGCATGGACAATAACTTAGTTGAATTTACTGAAGAAGTGGGAACATTTATCTAATTATCTTATTCAAATGCTCCACATCAAATGATGGATCCTTTATCATACAACCAACGCGTAGATACCATGGTGAAAGTACGTGGATTAGGCTAAAGCATAGTAGGCAAAAGAAACTGTATACCTGATGATAGAACTTGAATCAATTAAGGTTACGGATGAGCATCTAAATTCCATATTCAGGATTTAAGAAATTATCAGATTAAATAGTGCATAGAAACTAACTACATCTGACGAAGGATTAAAATAGCTTAAATAATAAATTAGACAAGTCACAAGGCAGAAGGTATTTCAGTTGCAACTCAAAAAAAGAGCATATTGCCAGACAGGAAATGCAGTTAAAATTCTGTAGGAGTCAAAATTGCTCCAAAAAGATGATGGAAAAAAAAGGAAAGTGCTATAAATGTGAAAAACAAGAACTGTAATGAATCAGTCGTTGATAATAAACCAAGGAGACAATCTTCTGAGGATCAGATTACATTCCATCTTACCCAATAGAAATAAGGTGTGTATTATTTAAAGAAACCAGTCCACGAACAAATGGCTTTGATGATGTGAAGTATTGTAAGATATTGATTAACACTGGTTCTGCAGTTATCATTGTTTGATCCGGTCTGGTAATAGAAACTGGGATATTTCCTTCAGAAATGAAGCAAAAAATGGATTGATGCTAACAGCAAGTTGTCCTAAAGTTCCAGCAAGAGGAAAGTTTCGAACCACTCTCACTATGCTAAGCTTTTCAGGCAACATATATCGATAACTGACATTGAGGAAGTTTACGTTTAACGTATCATTGTTTTTGTTTGTTTGTTGTTGTTTTTATGTATAATAGGATTGTTCAAGCCCCTTCACAATCCAAGAGGAAGTAATGTTATGCTATATGTTTTTGTTTTTAGTTTAGTTTTAGACTCTTATCTTATTTCTGGTTAGAGAAAATTGGCAACATCACATGACGGCCATGTGGCTTAATGGTTAGAATGTTCTTGAAAATTTAGAAAACGATTTGAATCATAGAAAACAAGAGTTGGGCATGACTAAGATACATTGTTAATTGACTAGTGGGGCTTTTACAATAGTTGAATGATTATTGAGTTAGCGAGTTTTTTAGTCAGTTTCTCTGTTAGATCTAGTTCTTCAATTTCGAGTTTGTGTTTTGACGAAGAAACAGGGATGCGAGAAGTACCATAGATAGGAGAAAATTAGCAAGTAAGTGTCTTTTTGACGTTAGTTGTCAAAAAGGTTAGGTCTTTACTAAATTCGTGAAACCATCTAAGTGAGAAACTTCTAGTCGATGGAGGAACAAACATTATTATCGTTAACTGTACTGGAGTTTGCATTATTTTATATCGAATAATCGAAAATTATCTAGCCCAACAATAGAAACCGTTATAACTGTTACACCAAAGAGAGGTTTGGTTCTTTATCCATGAACAGAAATCTAGTAACTTTAAGCACAAACATTACTCATACAGATCTTATTGATTTAGCCTGAGTAGGTGCAGATTTAGTATTATAAATAATAGCTAGGTCAAGACTGGTATAGGATGTAAGATGTTCATTCTGTACAGAGGAATTCAGAGTAAAACCTTACCGAGTAAATGATGTCATTAATCGAAATAGTACTGTAACCTGTTACGCGTTTACGGTCATTGACTTGTGCCACAAGCTCAGTGAAGCTGGCCGCGACATGTCTCTTCAAGACCGTAGTGGCAAACCGCTATGTTCCGGAAGAAATTGTGTGACAGCCACAAGATATACATTTTCTCTTTAACCTTTTGTGACACTTGTTAGTACCGAGCGTTTATTAGTAGTTCAGGCCATAGGATGGCAACTTAGACCTTCCGAGCGTCACTTCTAGCAAAGCCTACCCATTTAGCTTAATTATTAAGTCGTTACTTGGAAGAAGCCGACCGCCCGCGACCAAATAGCCGGTTTTCTTGAGGAGAGGAACTATTAAGACTGCTGTATGACCTTGAGGTAAATGCTACATCAATTTACCTAAGATCTTGTGCCGTATTCGGTGTGTTTTCGACCTGATGATGTTATTAATAAACCAGGAAAATGCAGCTGTATGAAGTTGTTGACTGGCTCTGCAGTCTTTCTTTTAGTAAATGCATGCGTAATCTACGGTAATTGATGTGTTTTTTAGTGAAACCTGTGATCTTAATAAAGTATACATAAAATAATTTATTTGCACAAGTGGCTATAACATCGGAAAAGTACAAGCCTCTCGATTCCCTGTCACAACCAGTGGGAGCTTGATGACCTTGAACGCCGTGATATAGGTAGTTTTCAGCTTAGAACTATACAGTCGTAGCTTACCTTGAGTTGCTATAAGCTAAACAAGCTTTCTTCAGCTTAAAGTTGACTAAGTTTTCGGTGCTAGATCATACCGCCATTTGTTATTTCCGATCGCAAACCTTTGCGTATGACGTTATTTAAAATACTTAACTGTAAGAACCTCAGCAACCGGATGAAAAGGCCCGCTACTTCTACAAGGAAGAGTTTTGTGTCGCCTGGAGACTATGTATAGCTACGTGGCACTACATAACCGGTAGCAACAATGAGTTGGGGCCGGGATAGGGCAGCTCGCCCTTGAAGAAAGCTCGGGGACTGGTCTTACTGCGCTCTCCGTAGACGTCTTCGTAACAGTCACGTTCTGCCCACGTACAGTTTTTGTCTATAGTGTGGAAGCGCTGAAGCAGTATTCCCAGATTAAGCTTACGGTGTGGTTGTAGTGGTTCCGACTAGATCGGCCAGTGGGGTTACCATTATCTTTGCTTGCGGTTTTTCATCTTACAGAACAAGAAAAGAAAGTTAACACATTACAGCTGAAGATTTTTTTTCTACTTTTATAACTCATGCATATTGTAAGCAAAAAATTCAGGAACCTCTGAGCCAGGGAGGAAAGACCATACTTGTACAATAACATCTTGTGTAGTTACACAAAAACTAATTTTATTAAATAAACAGTACTATAATTTCACTTCGAGTAGCTAAATGATCATCGTGTATTCGAAATATAGGCCCAGTTGTTGAATGAAAAACGTAGTACCTTCGTTTATAGCAGCACATCGAGTACGTAAGAGCCTACAATGAAATTGTGTGCCTCAAAGTGCTTATCCCATAGACGAATAAATTGTAGTTAACAGTGCTTTTGTGCGTTTTCTTTGTCTACGCTTTAAAGGGCTCCAAGTAAACTGCTTAAATCTGAAACTGCCTTATTATGAGGACAATGACATTAAAAGTTTAAAAAGTGAATGTTAAAACAATGCTAACAAAACTTTTTTTTCAGCAGCAAACCTGAAATTGAGAGTTAAATTTTTAGAAGTCACATCCTCCAGAAATATTTCTAGCTTTGGCCACATCGTTGTGAGAAGTTATATTCACACACACATATATATATATATATAGAGAGAGAGAGAGAACATATTCAATATCAAAGCGTTACGATGGTAAATATATGGGCCGTTCATTATTGGATATAATGTTGAGAAAGATGGAATGAAAGGAAAGCCATTATTGATTTAATTTCTCCATCGTGTAAAACAACCACTTAGCAGGACAACTTTAAGGCTACGATAAAACAAACGTAGAAAATCAACCACAGTCTTTTTCTGTTGGAAACTGCAGTAATATTTGTTATAAACGAACTTTATGAAACGAGGTCTAAACCGAAGCAAAAATCAATCTCAAGCCTCAGTAAGTTTAACAACGATAAAAACTAACTAGCATTCACAATTATTTTGTTGTACCAACTGAAAGAACAATTATGCAAAAAAATATTATGTTTAGTAACCAATGACGTCAAAATGCATCATGTACATTGTGTTATTGTGCTTTTTCATATACAATTTAAATATTTTTCACCGATTTTGCTGTTCTACGAAGGATGGATATAATACTAACCAGTATATGCAAGTTAAGTTTGGTAAGGTCTCCTTATTCATCGTTATTTATTTTATAAGACCAAAATACGTAAAAGTTAGTCTAGGGTACTCTTCTTTTATGACATATAAAATCATTTTGAATCAACTGTTGGCAAGCTACGTACGAAATAATTTATCTATCACCAGTAATCACGTGACGCCTGTCTAGAAATGTGACCGACCTACTTACGGGATGGTGATACTTTTTAGATCGTCATAACTCCCGCAATATATCTTTACATAAGAGTATATTTTCAAAAGTTTTTGTTTACTTTTAAATTTAAGTAAAAAATAATTGTGGAAGAAGTGTCTTAATGAAATAGATGGATCTTTGTTGTTGTTGTTGTTGTTTTAAAACTACGATTATATCTTTGATCAGTTTTCGTAGACAAATTATATATATATATGCACTAGACTACCTGGAAAGTCATAGAAATGACAACTGAAACTAAAAAAATATCGGAAATTTTATTAATAGCAACCCTTGCATCTGTACAGAGAAACTGGATAAATACCTGAATATAAACTATTACTTTGGAACATTGTGCAATGAGCAGTGCACCGACGTCTTCTGTAACCTTTCATCTTTACTGTCTAAAACTGCACTCTTTAGACTTATTGAACGTTTGTCAGTTGTACCAAAAACAACAATGAGTTTTTTATATAAAGTACACATTATATTTTTCTTAAATTGTTAGTCACTGCGTAATCCATAAATAAATATAATTTTTAAGAGCATTTACAAAATTTAAGCTGAAAAGTTAAACAATAGCTTCGATATTTTACGTAACTTAGTATATTTAATTGTCTAATATGAAGTTTTTCAATATTTTCTGAACATTACAGGAATGTGCGAACGTGAAACTTTGAACGAAATTAACATCTACGATGCCATCAATGTGACTTTTCCAGTTATGTAGAGACCAATATCTATAGAATACCTGTTTAAGCCTACTAAGGCAATGGAATCTTGATTCTTAAATATACCCTTTTAATTTTTCTTGTTTGAATTACCCACTTTCACGTTACATATTTACAAGTTTTTCAATTTATATAACTTGTCTAATTTTTCATACCACATCTTTGTATGGCTGACCCCTTTATTCTAACTTGGCTGATTTTTGTACATGTAAAATGTTTTGATCAGATTAAAATGTACGTGTTACAATTTTCAAACCGTAGTCAGTGGGATGTTGTTTCATGTCAGTCCTCCTTTGTTTACTAAATGTTTTGCCTCTTCAACAAGCTGAAGAAGAACAAGAACAATAATTGTACCATTCCATTTTTCACTTCTTATATCTCTTAATCTAAAGTAAATACGAAACTGCTACTTTTACTATGATGAAAAATGTGTTTGGATCTGTTGAAAAAACATAAGAATAGAGTCATTCAACATTTGGAACAGCTGTGGCAATACCACAGGTTTAGCCAAATGTTCGATCTTACATATATAACCATGGAAGTGTCAACCCATTTTCTGGACTGGAGTCACTAGATATTACTCAAGAGCTAATAGCAGCTTCACTTGTGACCATTAACGTGTGAATTCAGAAACTATTTGTATCAATACTGGATAACAATAATAGTAATGTAGTCTATAATTTACTTTCATTACTTTTGAAATTACCACCAAATAAGCCATGAACAGCAAATACATAACCAAATAATATAATACCAGTAACAATAGTAATGAAATGCTGAAGAGTAAAAACAAAATTATCAAAATGTTACTCAGTAAACTTCTTGTAACTATCCTGCTGTGTGAGAAATCTCACCCTTAACATAACCGGCCGTCATAAGGAAAATACTTGAAGATAATATAAAGATTCATAACTCCCATGTAAGACACTAAAACAAAATCGTCGAATATCATATTCCTTCATAAAGTTGTCTTCCTACCAAATATGTATATACACCTTGAACTTTTGCTCTATTAGAAACCTGGTTCACTAAGCTTCCTGTCTTTAGTTTAAAGAATTCTACATCCGAAAATTCGGCCATGAAATATATACCAGGTTATTTGAACACGCTACAATCAAGCAGCAATCTGAAAAAAAACATGGGATTCCACATGAAAAACAATACTGAAAGGTACAATTCTCTAGAATTAAAACACCCTTTCAGTATAGATATACAGAAACAAATTCCGTTGGAAAAAAAAAAAGAGATCCGCACTATAAGCACGGGAATTACAAAATAATTATAGCTGTTTTCTTTTTTCCTAGTTTAGGTAGGCTACTTTACTTATTGGCACTTCAATATCATTGTAAAAATCAAAGAATTCTGTGTTGATTATTGTAAAATTCCTTTGAGAAAATATACCAAAAGAAATACGATAAACACTGAACAAGGACAAAAATAATTATACTTGTTTGTTTTTTAATTAAGCACAAAGCTACACAATGGGCTATCTGTGCTCTGCCCACCACGGATTTCGAAACCCGGACTCTAGCGTTGTAAGTCCTCAGACATACCGTTGTTCCACTGGGGGTGGGCACGAAATACTTATACTTGTTTTTGCCTATAACTTTAAACTCTTTCATCCACTTTAATATCGTTGAAAAAATGAAACAATCAGTTGTTGCATCCCGCTAATTATACATCTTGTATACATTTTATATACAGCTAATTATACATCTTGTAGTTCTTACTCTTCCTAAGCTTATCATTTCAATATATTTCAGATACTTTGGGTTGTTGAAACTTTCATGAAGAGTAATTATTTATTAACTTAGAGCTGGTTTTTCGTACACTCAATACTAGAAAAAAAAACGTAGACTACCCACAGTAATGTAAAAGATTCGAAAGTGTATAATTACTCATGAAAGGTTACTTATTGCAAAAACACACACGAGACTTAATATGTGGAGATATTCGTTACATGAGTGCAAAGGTAATCTGCAAATGAAGATCAATTTGTACATCGTTTAAATACTAATGGATTCTGCACAATATGTTAGAACGTGTGTTATTAAATATTACAGTGTTATTATTTGCTTTAAATTTAACATTACTTTAAGAAACGTCTTTAAAAAGAAAAATAATTAAACAGTCCTGATCATGGAAACAAAGTTTTCCCTAAAAAAAAGGCATAATCTACAAAAAAAACACACAGTAATGCAGAAAAAAATTCCCTTACAAAAAAAAACATCATCTAACACAAAAAGTAGCACACTGATAACAGAAACGAAATTTCTCTCAGAAAGAAGACATCCTCTACCAAAAATAGCACTTAATAGAAACAAAATTTTCTCTCAGAAAGAAGACATCATTTAAAAAAAAGAAATCTTCGTGACTATCGGTAAGTAATACACGATTTTCTGTGGAATTAACCTATCAATATAGATATGACTTTTTTACACACTGACTCGAAAAATAGGTTTAAGAATGTTATTAAAATTTAGTATACTTTTTAAGAAAGTAATTTGACAACTGAAACCTAACTTATTTGAGTAAGTCATAGAATATCACAAAAAAAGTTATTTTCTTTTCACTAAGATTACACGAATTAGAAAACCAGTATTGTAGATTATAAAATATCGCCATTTTCAAGCCCACGACTCAAATGGGAGGATTTTTCAAAATCTCTAATAACGACGCAAAAAGTGAGCAAAAACATTTATGTAAAGAAATTAGTAGTTTAATCATTGAAGATTCCTTGAAAAATGACGAATACGTTTCTAAACGAAGAGAACTTTACATCGCAATGCAAAGATTTAAAAAGTGTTTCTCAATGATATCCTCCGAACAATGGTAATAACTGAATTGGTTTAACAGTATTTTAAGAGACGATAAACAATTGGCTGTAAGATTAGAAGAACTAATAAAAAAAAACTATAAACCTCTGAATCTAATTATAGAAAATTTAAATTCTTAATTAGGGATAAGTTAAGTTTTTCCTTTTCGTGTCCCGTTTTGAATATCTTTTGTATTTCAAGCTTATTATTTCATAGAAATGTGTTTTGTATTTTATAGTATTTGATAGCACAAAGAGGTGAAATACATAGAAATTTAATCCTTCACCTTACCATTATTAATTACTACAACAGACTAGTATGTAATCCTTTATTCTTGTATTGATCAGCATAATATTAATCCTGCATGTACATGTATATTTACGCAAGATATACACCAATAGACAACAACAGATAATTATATTCAAAATACTTGTTGTAGAGATTAACAATAAGTGTTCTCGAATTTTACAAGACCTGCCTGTAACACATAAAACGACTGCACGTTTAAACTAACACAACATGAAACATCTGTAACACCATTTTAAAGTCCATTATTTGTTGGAAAGAATCATAACGAAGCTATACACGATGATGTAGGTAAAGAAATATACATACAAAACAAAAATCGAATAATAATTCATGCAGTCTTCCCTTCTTTACTTCAGTTCTTTTTGTCTTAAAATAGGCTAGCTATTGTAATGTTCGTGTTCTCTTGTTTTTAGTTTAGTGCATGCTAAGAGGCGTATTTTGAACTACAAAAAATTCTAACAAAAGTGTCACACGTAAATTCTATGTAATTATAAAAGGTTTCTAAGAAGGTATTAACACAGTTTAGACGTATTCTTTACTTTGTATTGTAATCCACAATTAAAGTGGTCATCTACAAAAGAAATCGTCGTCTGAAAGAGTACAATCAAAACGGACGCTGTTCATCATTGTTTAGAAAATTATGAATGAGTTCAAAATTAATTATTTTCTAGGTATTTGTAAATTCCACATAAATGAATGTGAAAACAACCTTAAACTGTACAATGAAATCTATCAACTTAGATAGCTTAAGTCGCTATTTAGAAAGAGTATGAAACTTTATTGGCTTCACAAAAATTGGATAGCTTCTCCAAATAATAATATTCAGCTGTACTTCAATATTATCAAAAAAAATCAGAAAGATGCAGACCATACAGATGTATAATTTTGTGTCAAAAATACGTCAATCTCGTTCTGAATTACAATCTTTAACTTCTTAATTACGTCGAGAGCAATCTTTGGACAAATGAATTAAGTAGTGAGTGCGTCTTACGTTGCACATCAGTAAGTCTAAGTATGTTACTTAATACTTTTAATCTGCGTAAGTGTTATGCGTGTGAGTAAAAGAGGAAGATGACTACATGCTTGCTTAAGTTATGAAACAGGAATCCAAATCTAACTTTGTCTTGTCAAAGAACTCGTCGATCATTAAAACGAGATTCAAACACCAGAGCTCGAGATATGTTTGGTGTGTGGTGTTCAGATACATGCTGCTGTTTCTTTTCACGTGTGTACAGTTACGATTTCAAATGCAAGGACTTTCTCTCCAAATACAAACAAAGTAAAAAATAACCATAATTAATTATTTTACCTATAATATGCTTCACCTTGTTTTAACAGTTTTTATTTCTTTCCGTTAATATCATACTAGGCCAGGATTGCTAAATCTATTGTGCATGTATCTGCACGCTTGCATAATGTTTTATCATCTCCGGAAACACAAGTACCTGGTATGAACTCCATGTATATATGTGTTAATCATGTAGAGCCAATTTGTTAATAAATAACATGAAAAAGAAAACCACTATAGTTACTTCAGTTTTTGTAATGAATTTCTTTTTGCTGAATCTAACCATTGCCTCTGATTTAATGCATAGATTCTAAACACTGTCCACTTTTTAATGTAACGTTAACTGGAAGAATACGAATATGACATCTTTCGACTTATTCGAAAATATATCAGATTTGTTTATGACCAGCTATACGCGTGTATTACATTTTTTGTAAACTGAAGCGTAAAAAGGTTTTACTGTGGTGGTGAATTGAATGCTTTTGCAAGGTAAAATATTTCATTACAACGTAGTCACACCCACCCATCATATTTCAAGCCGTCTTCAATTTTCAATTACTCTGAATATAAATTATCAAACATCTGTATCAAGTGAAAATTTGCCTATGAGAAAAGTGTTAGAAAATATTCTATAACAATTAATACCTCAAGTATTGTTAACCAAGTAGCTAAAAGACAAGTCTGAGAATGTAAGCCTTTTATATATTTAATAAAAAAAATGGATGTCGGTTTTTAGCTACAAGTATGTACGGTGTGAATCATAGGGTTTCATTGAAGATTTCGTACATTACTCAAGTTTTCTGAAAGTACTGAATAATAAAAAATTAAACTTGCACTGTGAAATGCT